AAAAAAAAAAAATCAATTTTGCCCTCAGGGGTGAAAATTTTAAATGGGTTAGGGAGAAAATAGAGAAGTGGAAGAAGAGGAAGAGATTAGAAGTAAGGCTGGAGGACAAAGGGGGATCATGCTAACTTTGGGAAACTGGTGCAGAAGACTGGAAGGAAAGAGAGAAGGAAGAGATAAAAAGAACAGAACAGAACTGCAACCACACAGAGGCTAAAAACCACATTCACACTCATATAAAAACAAGATCAAACAATGAAAAAGAAAAAACAAAAACAAAAGCACAACAACAAAAAACAAACAAGAGAGACAGAAAAAGAAAAAAAAGAAAGAAAGAAAAAAGTCCACTTCCAGGTATGTCTCTGCTGTTCCTGGTAGACAGTGTGTGGAGACAGAATCCCAATCCATGCCAAGCTATCACAGCAAGCCAGCAGTAGCTTTTTGGCGAGGTAGTGGATAATCTCAGCAAGCCTATGCCTTCTGGCCTAGACCAGACTCATTCAGCTTGCAGCAGTCAGAGCACCTTCCTTTGGCCTGAGCCCAACTGGGAGCCACTAGATAGAGCCTGCAATGGCTCTGAGTTCTGAGCTCAGCCAGCTCCTCTCCAAGATGGCTCCAGGCCAATCGTTCTCACATGCAAGGACTGCTATGCCCTCAGCACTCAACCACCAGCTAGTATAGTCCTTCACGTCCACTGCTCCCCTGCTCTGCTGTGTGTCTCTGTGGAGGCCTCTGGGGTCGCCAGCAGTCACCGTGTTTGCAGGTTTTAACTCTTCTTTTCGAGTAGTGAATCCCATTTCAAGGAGAAGGCACCACTGGCTACCTCCTCCTTTTTCATTAAAGTTTCTCTCTCTTTCCTCCCTCTGTGGGATTCAATTCACATTTCAGATGCTTCCTGGATAAGGGGACCCACTTCCCTCCTTCTTGTATTCCTCATGTTGCATCTGGATGGCAACTCTCAGAGAGGCTTTTTCTCTGCTGCTTACCACTCTGCCATCTTGGTAGTCTCCCACTATCAATTTTTGAGTGTTGACTTTATATCTTGATACACTACTGAATTTGGTTATTAATTCTAAGAATCTTCTGGTGGAAGTTTTTGGGTTTTGTCCTTTGCAAGTAATGATAATTTCATTTCTTCCTTTCCTCTACATACCCCTTTTATTTGTTTATTTTTCTCTTGCCTGTTTGCTCTGGCTAATGTTTTGAGAACTATATTGAACAGTAGTGGTAATAGTGGACATCCTTGTCTTGTTCCTGATATTAGAAGGAAAGCTATCAGCTTTTTCCCATTTATAGGACGTTGATTGCAGATTTTTCATAGATAGATTTTATCAGATTGAGATGAAGTCTTACTATACTTACTTTTTTCAGGATTTTAAAAATTATGAATGGATGTTGGATTTTATCAAAGACTTTTTCTACATCAGTTGAGATGATCATGTGATTTTTGACCTTACTTCTGTACATGAAATGTATTACACTTACTGATTTGCATATGTTGGACCATTCTTGCATCCCTGGGATAAATCCTACTTGGTCATGATGCATGATGTTTTTGATGATTTGCTCCATTTTGTTTGCCAGTCTTTTGTTGAAGGTTTTTGCGTCTGTGTTCATTAAAGAGATTGGCCTGTTGTTCTGCTTTTATTTGAGTCCTTTTCTGATTTTAGAATCAGGGTAATGCTAGCTTCCAAGAATGACTTCAGGAGTACTCTTTTCCTTTCAATTTAATTAAAGATTTTGAGTAGTACTGGTATGATGTCTTTGCTAAACTTCTTGTAGAAATCAGCAGATCGATTAGGATCTGGACTTTTCTTAGTTGGAAGGTTTTTTTTAATTACTGCTTTAATTTCTTTGTCTGTTATTAGATTATTTAGGGTTTTATATCTTCCAGCTTCGGTTTTGGTAATTCATATGTATCTAAAAATCTATCCACTACTTCCTTCTCCAATTTATTAGAGTACAGTATCTCAACATAGTTACTAATAACCTCTGAATTTCGGCAGTATCCATTGTGATTTTTGCTTTTTTCATTTCTAATTCCATTGATTTGGGTCTTTTCTTTCCCCTTTTTTTTATAAGATTGTCCAGGGGCTTGTCTATTTTGTTTATTCTTTCAAAGAACCAGCTTTTCAAACATTGATTCTTTGTATTGGTTTTTATTATCTCAATTTTATTAATTTCTGCTCACACCTTTATAATTTTCTTCCTTAGGGCTGGGGATTTAGCTCAGCGGCAAAAGCGCTTGCCTGGCAAGCGCAAGGTCGTGAGTTCGGTTCCTGGTACTGGAGAAAAACCAAAAAAAAAAAAAAAAATTTTCTTCCTTGTATTAGCTATGGATTTGAGTCATTCTTGTTTTTTTTGGACCCTGAAGTGTACCATTAGCTAGACCCTGATTTCAAGAAGTCCAGGAAATGTCGTTTTTAGCTCTCTGGCCTCTGCAATGCTGGAAGGCACTTTAGGAGGAAGTTGGGGTAAATGTTAGTGGGCCAACCCCAACCCCATCACTCAGGCTTGGGGACAAAATTCCAAAGTATTCTTGTGTAATGTATTATATTTAATGGTAAGAACACAGATTCTAGTACTAGTCTTCTTGGGTTTATATTACAGCTATATCATTTATTAGCTGTGTGACACTGGCCAAGTTGCTTCACCTCCCTGTGTCTCACTTTAATCACCTGTAAAATGGGAGTATTAATATTATCTACCCAAGGAGAGTTATTATGCAGAATTAAAGGGATTAATGTTTGTAAAGTGATTTTTAAAGCAGTGCCTGGCACAAAATATCCATTATATATGTGTTTACTAGGATGGTAGCAATAATAATAATAATAATAATAATAATAATGTGTTTACTAGGATAGTAGCAATAATAATAATAATAATAATAATAATAATAATGTGTTTACTAGGATAGTAGCAATAATAATAATAATTGATAGTAATTTTAATTAATAGAGTAAATACACTTACACAAACATTGCTTCTTTTGAGGGGTTGGGCTGCAAAGAGCAACAGAAAACTGGGATGGTAAGGAGCTGACCCTCAAGAAAGAGGAACCTCAGTCACATAACTGCAAGGAACTGAATTCCACTAACAGCCGCAAGAAAGTGGACCTTGAGGTCTAGAAAGGAACATGGCCCAGTGACACCTTACCACAGCCTGTAGGACCCTGAGCGGAGGGCCAGCTGGGCTGGACTAGACTGCTGACCTTGGAGATGGTAAGGTAGTGAATTTGTGGTCTAAGTAGAAAGTGACACTAAAGAATTACTAACTTCAGTTTTTGTGTGTGTAGTACTAGGGATTGAGGGTAGTCTTTGACTGAGCTACATCTCTAGTGCTTTTTTAATTTTGAGACAGGGACTTGCTAAGTTGCCCAAGGTGGGGTTAAACTTGTGATCCTCCTGCCTCAGCCTCCCAGTGTGCTGGGATTATAGGTGTGTGCCAGTACACCTTGCTATGTTCTTTGTGTGTGTGTGTGACGTGTCCTGAAGCATTTAGGAAATGTCTAGGATTTGTTTTAAAATCATGACACATAAAGAGATAAAACTATATTAATAAAATAGGACCAAATGTTAATAATTATTAAGTCAAAGTGATGGATAAACAGGGAACTGCTGTACAGTTTTTATATGTGAATGAAATTCTTCGTAATAAAATGTCAATATACACATGGAGATGTATGTGGGAGAAAGAACAGTCTTAGTGCTTCTTCCTCCTCCCCTTCTCCCCCGCCCCCTCCCGCTCTGTGTATTTTCCTGACTGCCCTTTTACTCTGCCTCACGTACAAGGTTGTCCCCTTGTGGCCTGTTGTCTTTCTAAGGCTATTCCTGCTGAAGCGTATTTTTATAATCTCCTTTTAAAAGCCTCTGAACTGCAGCCCTGCGTGTCTTGGCATTGGTGGGAACTGGCCCAGAAGAACAGCCACCTCCTGCCAGGAGGACTGGTGGAGGCTGGGGCTGGCATGTCGTGGCGCAGCAGTCCTCACTGGGCAGGGCTGTCTTTCAGGGCCTCCTGTGCCTTCCTGGTGCCAGCTCCAGCTGTCCTGCTCACCATTCTGAGCTCTTCTTTAGCACCTCAGCCCAGCAGTAATTCTTTCTCAGAAATCCATTCCCTCAGCAGAAGCCACGTGTTCGGCTCAGGCCCCATCTGACAGCTGTGGCCCCTGGCCCAGCCCTACAGATGGGCAGTGTTCCCTTTCACAGCGTCTGGTGTATTCCTGCCAGAAAAGCCTACTTCCTTTATGCTCCTTTTTTTCATGGTATCGCTTTTTTTGGCTGTGCGCATCATGCCAATTCCTTGCACACTTGATTAAAAGATTCAGGGGCAAAGAACTTGAATCAATGGGGTCTTTTAGTTTTGAACATCAGTAAACAGCACAGACCAGTTCAGTGAGTTCAGTCCCCCTAGTTATTCTCATGCTGGCGGTAGCCTCTGCCCGGCATTAAACCCCACTGAAAATGCCTCTTGTTATTGCTGGCTAATGGAGAGTGTCGCTCTTTTTTCTGAGTTTGAACACACTCCAAAGTGTTGACCTGAAAGATCAGTTTAACATTGGAGGGCTCAAATGCAAAAATCTTTAACTTTCCCTTTTAAATAGTTCACTGACATTGTTCTAATTGCTTTCTTTCCTCCTCATTTTATTCTACCCACTGGCAGTATTTTGGTCTGGTTGACAGTGCAAAATGCAGTCTTTTATTTTCAAGACTTAGAAAGACACGCCAAAGTCTTTCCCACAGATTAAAAGGTTCGGGTCATAAGAATGGCTCCCTTTGACCTCTTTTTGCCATTCTCAATACCCAGGTCACAGAGGGCCAGGCTGTGGTATGGTGAGTGACACTCGTAAAGAACAGGGACCTCCAGTGAGTGGTATACTAATTTCCTGAGAAATAAAAGCACCAGAAAGATATTCTTTAAAAAAGATACAAGAGCTGAGTATATAGCTTAGTGGTAGAATTCTTGCCTAGCATGCATGAGGCCCTGGGTTCCAACCATAGTGTTGGGTGAAAGAAAGATTTAAGACTTCCAAAGTATGTAGCTGATATGGCTTTGGACGCTGCTAACACCTAGTGAAACTTAGCACAGGAAGAGTGCTCAAGGACAGATTGTGGAAGCAGACATCGGGTGTTCAGTCCCAGTTGCAGGGCTAACTAGCTCTGTGATCTTTGGTAAATTATTCTCGGTGCCCCAGTCTCCTCATCTGTAAAACCAAGTTCTTACTGCAGAGCATTGGAGTGAGCATGTGAAGTGCTTAGATTACTGTGCAACATGAGAAAAGTGGTCACTGTCGTTATATAACAGGGCTAAAGATGTAGCTCAGCGCTGGACCTAGCAAGGATGAGGCCTGGGATTCATCCTAGCACCGAAAATATATATAAAGTGAAGTACTGAAAAGTTCCTATTGCCTACACTGTCTAGGTTTGTATAAGTCCACTGCGATGTTCCTATAATGATGAAATCACCTAATGATACGTATTTCAAAATATATCCTGCCATTGAACAATACATGACTGTCTGTCCCTCTTTCAGCAGAGGAACATAAGCCCCACAGCAGACTTCCCCCATGGCATTAGCCAGAAATGGGTCACAAGCTCCCTTAGACCAGGGCTGAATCCCTTCCTTTGAGAACTAGAGATCTCCACCAAAACTTTAGCAGCATCAGGGAATGAGGAAAAGGAGAACAGTTCTGAGATAGGTAGTGAAAAGCTTCTACCCCAACCCTAATAGGCTGATTATTGTCCTTGGAAAGACAACTGAGAAATCTGAACTATTTTTTTTAATGTGCAGAACCAAGTAATATTTGAGTTTTAATCTTTCCTAATGACTAACTCACCGCAAAAGAAAATAACTTTTCCAAACAGTTTTAAGTGTCGTTCAAATTGTAGAAGCACAAAGTTTAGCCAAGTAGCTTTCATAGGTTCTGGTTGACCCCTTCTAGTGAAAGGTAAGTTTCCACAGTCAGGACCCTCAACTGCTAGACAGAGTCACACGGCGCAGGGTCACAAGTTGAGTAGTATCGCACCGGCCTTGCATAATCAGAGCTCTCAGATCCTGGATGACTGGCCCGTAGAACCACCAGAGCGATCGCTCGCCGTGGTTACACAAGCAATCAGACAGAACTATGGTGATGGTTCAGGGCCAAAGTACAAAGGAAGGCTGGGACGTGAGCTCACAGGTTCTCAGGAGCCTTGGAGCCAGAGCTCAGCATGTGACCTGGCCCTCGTGACTCAGAGCCCACGAGCATGCCCCGACAGACAGTGCCTTTGACTCTCCACACTCCCATGTTGCATGTCCTGTTTATGAGCCTCTGCATCCTTCACTGCAGCTGGGTAAAAGAGGGCAAAATCCAATAAGGACTAACAAGGAAAGCAAGGTAACTTTTAAAACTAGCAGTCTTGAAATGTCCACTTTGTAAAGGGTTCTTTTTTTGTTTGTTTTTTTTTGGCTTTGATTTTTTGAGACAGGGTCTTCCTATATAATCCAGGCTGGCCTTAAACTCACTATGTAGCCCAGGCTGGCCTTAAACTCACTATGTAGCCCAGGGTGGCCTTAAACTCACTATGTAGCCCTGGCTGGCCTTAAACTCACTATGTAGCCCAGGGTGGCCTTAAACTCACTATGTAGCCCTGGCTGGCCTTAAACTCACTATGTAGCCCAGGCTAGCCTCGAACTGATGGCAATCCTCCTGCCTCAGCCTCCCATGTACTTGAATTACAGGCATGCAGCACCATTCCCAGCCAGGAGGGTTTTGATATAATGATTTTTATATTCTGTTTGAAAACATAGTTGCTCAGGGGCTGGCAGAGCACTTGCCTAGCATGCATGAGGCCTTGGATTTGACCCCTGTCACCATAAGAAAATAAAATAAAATTCAGTTGCTCTACTTGTTCCTTACCAGGGTCTCAGGTTTTTCCCCACACACGCAATCTTAGTAGAATTTCCATTCTGTGGCAATTGGGTGTAAAGGCGGGTGGGCAGGGGAGTTTGTGTCAGCTTCCAGCCATCACCTCCCTCCCACCCTGTCCTGCAGGTCCCTTGGAGGAGTGAGGGTGAGGCCATGACACTGGCCTGAAATCCAGCTCTGCTCAGAGACCTCAGCTCAGCCCTGGAACCCTCCTATTCCATTTGGCACAGCTGGGCACCCCTTCACTCGACTGAATTTCTTTTGCTTCTATTTCCTTATCCTTTATTATCAGTTATTCTATGGAAGGGACTAATGAAAATATGCCATTTAGCTATAAAGATACATCAGCTTTAGGTTCATATAATTATTAAAAGAAAAGTGCATAAATGCACATTAAAGTTATTGTCCAGACCTAGTGAACTAAGAAAACGCTGAAGGTGGAAGGCGAGGTGGAACCCTTCTGGAATGCAGCCTCTTATAAAAACTGATCTGCTACAAGAAAGGACATGTTATGTATTTGAGCTGAGTTAGGTGTCATTCTATTTATTTAAATATTTTCTATAAAATCACATTTTTTAGGATTTTCACATATGTACTAAAATCAGAATAAACTTGCCACTTTTTATGTCCATTAAACTTTATCTTATAAACAGGAATTGAAGTGTCTGTCTTACTGACATAAGCCTCTAAACTGCAGTCAACAAGGATGTCCTAGACCTGGAGTTTAATCTATACCTTGTCCTGTGTTAACAGTTTGAAGGTACTTTACTTAAGTCCTATCATTTTTAATTTAATGAATAAAAATGTCCAAAAGGTATTAGAAGATGTGATGTGCTTTATAGGAAGTAATATCACTTATGTGGCACTCTTGCCCAAAAGATACCTAAATCTAAACATCACATACCTCCAAAATGAGGAGCATTCTATAAAAAAATTGGCTTTTAAAATATTAATGTCATGAAAGATAAAGTATGCTGAGGGGATATTCCAGATTAAAGGAGATGGATGAACATAGCTAAATACAATGCAAGGTTGAGGGGTTTCTCTAAAAGAAGTTATTGGGATAATTGGCAAAATTGGATACTTGTTATGGTAATGATGTTGCCTTTTCTGATTTTGATCATCACAGTGTACTAATGTTAGGAAAATGTCCTTGATCTTAGACAGTTTTAAAATGTAAAAATAGCCTGGCATTTTTGTGACACATATCTGTAATCCAAGCACTAGGGGAGGTCAAGGCAGGAAGATGGAGAGTTCAAGCCCAGCCAGGGCAATTTAGCAGGACCCTGTCTCAAAGTACAAAATAGGCTAGGATGGCTGGGCCTGGCAGTGTACATCTGTAATCCCAGCATTTGAGAGGCTGAGGTAGGGCTGGGGATTTAGCTCAGCGGCAAAAGCGCCTGTCTGGAATGCACAAGACCGTGAGTCCGGTTCCCGGTACCGGAGAAAAACCAAAAAAAAAAAAAAAAAGAGAGGCTGAGGTAGAAGGATTCGCTGCAAATTCAAGGCCAGCCTGGGCTACAAACTGCATTCAAGGCCATCCTGAACTGCAGAGTGAAATCATGTCTCAAAAAGAAAAAAAAAAGAAAGGCTACGAATGTAGCACAATTCAAATGCCCTAGGTTTAATCTCCAATGCTAAAAAAAGAAAGGAAAAACAGAATAAAGGTAAAGGAAGGCTGAGGAAATAGCCCATGGACACAAACACCCGCCTGGCAGGCATAAGGTCCTGAGTTTGATTTCCTGTGCCAAAAAAAGAGGTAAAGGAGCATTATGTCTACAATTTATAGTTCACTTTTTTAAAGTATATAATAACAACATGTGTGCATACATATATATGTATATACATGTATATGTAAATACATGTATATGCGTATGTAAATTAGATATCATATATATGTAAAATACATGTACATTATATATCATGCAAATGTGGCAAAATAAACTATTAAAATTGGTAAACCTGGGTGAAGAGTCCATGAGAATTCTTGTTATTCTTTAACTTTCTTGTATGTTTAAAATTATTTCAAAACAAAATTGAAAAATTTTGAAGTTACAGATACATGTAACCTGAAATCAGTTGCCTGAGAGATTTTACTGTCTGGGCCAACACTGAAATATTACCTTGAGCAAAGTACTGATGACTAAGATGAGATCAAAAGTTGTACCACCAAGTTGTGAAAGATTTATTTCTGCTTTGAAAAGAATGCCAGAGACGAACCGTCGAGTGTGGGAAGTGCTCATTAACTCAATTACATGTAATGGGAAGTCTGCTGCTGTGTTTCCTCTTTTTATCTCCAGTCCTGGAAAATCAGTCAGGGAAAGAAATACCAGATGGGCATGAAAACCTCCCTGCCCCACTGTCCTTCCACACAGATCAGCCTGGACTCTCCAGGCCCCTCACAGCTAGCAGGCCTGGGCTCCCCTCCGTCCTCAGTACCCCTGGGCCGGGACTCCCACAGTTTTCTGCTTACAGCATCCCAAGAGCCCTGTCCCTCCAGATCTGTGCTGCCCCCAAGACAGTAGCCTCTGGCGAGCGTCTGCAAGGTGCTGGCTTAAACTGACATTTGCTATGAAATACACACTGGATTACAAAGGTTTTGTGTAAAAAAAAAAAAAAAAAGGAATGCAAAATATGTCAATAATGTTGTACGTTGATGACTTGTTGACATGATAATGTTTTCAATATGTTGAGTTAAACAAAGCACCTTATTCAGATCACTTTAACTGTTTCTTTTTACTTTTTAAATGTGGCTGCCAGGAAGTTTAATTTACACACGAGCCTCATGTTAAGCCTCTGCTGGACAGCACTGCCCAGTGGGACTGAACAGCCTCTTCCTTCAAGCCCTGAATGACGTCTAATGGCCCTACATGTGCTTCTTTCCCAAGCTGGTGTCTCCCTCAATCCAGGAGCCTTTGGCTTCTTTTCACCCTCAGTTTTTAGCATTACACCTGCCACTCCTGACGAAGGGTGTTACTGAATTAATCATGAATGAGCATTCTCTTTTATCTAGGTCAAATTCCCCTAATAGTATTAACCAAAGTGAACGATTTGGTTGCATCTCGTACATTCACAGTGATATGCAACCGCCTCTAACAAGTTCCCAAACATTTTCATCACTCCAAAGTAAAAGCTAATGTTCCCCGTTCCCTCCCCTGTACTGCTCCTGGCGATCACCCAATCATCAGTCTGCATCTGCTCCTCTGGATTTTCCTATTCTGACTTTCTTATGAACAGGTTGATGTAACATGTGACTTTTTTTTTCCTTGAGACAGGGTCTCACTATGTAGCCCAGACTGGCTCAAATTCACAGTGAACCTCTTGTCTCAGCCTACTGAGTGTTGGGATCATAGCTATGTGCCAACACACCCGGCTTCTAATATATGACCTTTTGTGTCCGCTCTCTTTTTGAAATTTACCCACATGTGATGGGATGTGAAGGCTCAGTATTCTCCCTGTTTGTCTTTATATTGGGAACTTCCCACACTAGGAATTCAAACAACGTCTTGTACTATTCTGTTTTAGGGGTTAATGCCTTTTCCTCTCAGTGAGACCCTGTGTGCTGTAATTTTTGTTCAAGCTTTGGTGGGTGATGACCATTATAGGAAGGTTGATCTCTGGCAGAGCTTGCTGAGTTAAATTCTATCTGATGTGGAAAAAAATTCCCTCGAGGAAAAGGTGGATTTACATTTGTGAATAAGGATCTAAGGTGTATTCTATCTGTAGTTTCCTAATCTTTCTCCAACAGCCAGCTTCCTTTTTGATTTCTGGTCTAGTTGCTTCTCTTGGCCTTATCATGTATTTCCAGTAAGTGGGTACAATGCTGCTGTTCCAAGGCTCTGAGACATTTCCGGATAATTCACAATTATCATAAAACTGAAAGCCAAGATTACACTCCTATTCCTATTCCCTCCCCCTTCTCTCTCACCATTCCGCTTCTTGCTCGTATCCAACTGTTCTCCAGTTACTGAAGGCAGAAAAGAAAAGCACATTCACCACTGCACCGTACAGCATGTAGCTCAGTGGTAGAGCACTTGCCTAGCACACCAGGCTCCAGGTTCCCTCATCAGCACCACAAAACAAACAAAACCCACACACCACAAAAAACCCAACATACACACAACTGCACAATAAGCACTTATCTCTTACTGTCTTTCTACACTAATAATTCAGAGAATCCACATTGTTGCATGCTTGCCACTCTGATTTCACATAAGGTCAGGAAATCCATGAGAAAATACATCCCCCAAAAAAGTGTTTGCGGCAGCAATCAAGAAGAAAACCTCTGCCTGCACTCTGATTCCTTCAGGCTGAAGCCACTGCAGAGGTGACTGGCTGAAAAGGATCCACTAACCTTCGTGGCCCATTTTCTCCTCTTTTCCTGAAATGTAAAGGGAAAGCGTTTGGGTGGGAAAGCCATTTCAAAGCTTAGGAAACCTCGGGAACAAGGGACTTTGGTTACCCATTCATGCAGAGCGCACCCAGACAGGAGAGACCGAAGAGCTAGACATGAACCAGGAGTCTCTGAGTCACTGGCTAGGCTTAAATCTGAAAGCCGTGACTCTGATTATGGCACGTTGAAAGGCCCCGTTAGAGCAAGGTAGTCACATGGGCTGTCAGTCTTTGAAGTGATCCCTTTGAGTTTATTCTTCCCTTTCCACTCGGCCAGATGTGACAGGGTTAGTTTCAGCAGGCCTGTCCCTTTGGGGAGGTGCTTTCCTTCTTTATTCCTGTGATCTACCTTTAGAATTCTCTGCCACGTCGCCTGCTATATAACTGCTAGACAGGAAAACGGTGCCTCAAAGATGTGCACACTGTAGCCCCTGAACCTGTCGGTATGTCGTAGGGTAGGAGAGGAAGGTTGCAGGTGAACGGAGGCATCTGATCAGCTAACTCAAGAGATGCTATTAGAGCATCCGGGTAGGCCCAGGGTAATCACAAGCATTCTGTAAACAAGGGAGACAGAACTGGTGTCAGAGGGATGAGATCCAGGAAAGACTCAATCAGCCATTGCTGGCTTTGGGGACGGAAGGAGACCACAAGCTGGAAGTATGAGAAACTTCTAGAGGATGGAAAACACAAAAACAACCAGATCCCTCACTAGAGCCACAATGCTGACATTTTGACTTTAGCCAGTAAGACTCACTTCAGACTTTTGACTCACTTCAGACTTTTGACTTCCAGAACAGTAAGATAAGAAATCTGTATTTTTAAGACTCCAAATCTCTGGCAATTTGTTATAGCTGTAGTACAGAACAAGTACAGTAGCTGTTTACAGGAGGTGGGGAAGAGACTGTAGCTAAATGTTATGACCTCACTTTAAAACACTCAGTGTGAGGGGGCTGGGGATTTAGCTCAGCGGCAAAAGCGCCTGCCTGGCAAGCGCAAGGTTGTGAGTTCGGTTCCCGGTACCGGAGAAAAACCAAAACCGAAAAAAAAATAAAAATAAAAATAAAAATAAAACACTCAGTGTGAGCAATTTCTAAAACTAAAAATATTAATTCTGCAGCCTGCTGTGATTCCTGAGTGTGGTAGCTGCCTGTCACGCCACGTGTCCCCTTAGGTGGCTGCTGCTCTTGTCGCGCCTCACATACTGCTCCTCAAACAAGGACGGTAGCCACCAGGGAAAGTGATAGAAATCAAGATGCTTAGAGGCAATTAGGAGCACTTCTCAAAAAAGAACTAGTACTTGCGTTCCTCAGTGTCATTTTTAATAGAGTAATCATCTGTGTAAATCCAAATAATTGAGATGTTTCACTTCTTTCAATGAATTAGTTCAAACTTTTTTCACGGTTATGATTTTTAGTTTTCAAAACTAAACAAACTTGAGGTACATTCTTTATCCCAAGTAGCCTTGTCTCAAGGAACAACATAAAATAAACCATATGTTGCCAACTGCTTGACCTCTGCCCTGGTCATTGCTCCCTCTCCTTATTAGCCAGCGAGGTGAGGACACAGAAAGAGAAATTTGATCATCATACCTCCCTAGAACAACAAAATAAAAGTAAGGTTTTATAACAGAAGAGTTTAATGCTTCCAATCTTGTAGAGACAGAGGTGGCTAACCTAGCTCAAAATACAAGCCTGAACCATGCCAACAAAAAGGGCAATAATAGTTAAAATAATTTGTCCCTGAATTTGAAAGTCTTTTTTAATTGTAAAAATCACATACAGTGTAGAAAGTAAACAGAACCAGAGTACTTACATCAAACTAATATTTTTATTATTCATTTATTCATGTATACAGTATTTAAAAACTTTTTTTATAACCATGCACTAAACTGAAGTCAAAATGGATCAAAGATCTAAATATTAAAACAGAAACACTAAATCTACTGGTAGAGAAAGTAGGTAGAAATGTTGAAGACATATGTATAGGCAGAGAGTTCATGAACAAAACCCAGACTGCAGGAGAAATACTTCAGAGAATCAACAACTAGGACCTCATCTTATTAAAAAGCTTTTGCACATCAAAAGAAATCACCAGCAGAGTAACAAGACAGCCCACAGATTGGCAAAAAATTTTAGCCAATTGTCCCTCAGACAAAGGACTTATATTTAGAACATAGAAAGAATTGAAAAAAATTAGAACCCCCAAATTTCAAAGTCCCAATCCAAAAAAGGGCATTTGAGATGATACATACTTCTCAGATGAAGGAATACAAACAAAAAATAAATATATGAAAAAAATGTTCAACACCATTGGTCATTCAAGAAATGCAAATTAAAACAACACAGATTCTATCTCACTCCAGAAAGAATGGCTATCATCAAGAAATCAACCAGTAACAAATGCTGGCATGGCTGTGGTGAAAAAGGAACACTTCTCCACTGTTGGTGAGAGTGCAGGCTGGTGCAACCACTGTGGAATTCAGTATAGAGATTCCTCAAAAAATTAGGATTAGAGGTCCCAGTCAACCTAGCTATTCCCTTCCTGGGTGTGTTCCCATAAGAATTAAAAACATCATACCACAGCAATATATGTGCACTCATGTTTATAGCAGTACAATTTGTAATAGCTAAATCCTAGAAACAACCCAAATGCCCATCAACCGAGGAATGCACAGAAAAAAATGTAGTCTTTTTGTGCAATGGAGTACTACTCAGCCATAAAGAAGGATAAACTGGGACTTTTATAGGTAAATGGGTGCAACTTGAGACCATTCTCATTAGTGAAATAAATCAGACTCGAGTCTGTAAACATCATATTGTCTCCTTGGGTGAGAAGAGTAAATATCTAAAACGTACAATAGATATTGTAAAATGGGAAGAAATTGTTAAAAAGGAGAAAGGAACTGGGGGGGAAGGACAGTAGGAAAAAGAGAAAAAATGCAAGTTAGTTATACTATTAGTGTCTCTTAGTTCATAAAAAAATAAGGAAGGTTTGTGCTAGTATCAATTGGAGAGTTTTTTATGTCCATGTCTTGTACTCTGAGTAACTACTTTAAAGATAATAATATGCAATTATTAACTATTGTTATCCTCCTATCATCTTGTAATGAAGTTTTGTTTTAGCTTTTTTCCATAAAATAAAATTAAAAAGCTCTTTTGTATAGTCACACATAATGTGTTCTTATCCTGGGTTTTCCCTTCACATTTGCTTCAGAGGCTGAAAAAGAAGCTCCAAAGAGCTCTGTTTGACCTAAGAATATGAGCAGTTGGCCAGTTCTGCTCAGTGGACTTTGTTTCGTGGGTTATTTAATTTCTGTTCCCCATCAGTACAACTGAAACATGCTACATGAAACAAGCTACTGGAAGCCCGCATGCTGTTTCCATACCATTCTGGTACCACAATATACATCTATTATTAGCCTTATATGTATGACAGAATTTCAGATGGCTGGAGAGACACCTCCCCATCTAGCACCTCTTGGGGACAGGAACATACAGACATTTGCTAGCATCTGGAGGAGCTAGTCGTCCACATTACAGGAAAAGATGCAAGCCTGCACTTTAGGGCAGTGGGCAACTAAGGGACAACAGGAGCCTCATCATCAGTGAGGTTGGAGGATGGAACTTTTATTTGGTAAAGAAAATTGAAATAGGGACATGGGATATAAAGTTCCTTAAAACTGGTAGATGTGGACTCAAAATTTAAAAAAAAAATAGTGCACGTCTGAAAAGTGAGCAAATAGATGCCAAGAGAGGGTGAGTCACAAGCACATGAGCTGTAAGAGGTCGGATTTTGGAGAACACATCAGGCAGCGCTGCTTAATACCATCACATGATCTGCCCTGAGGCCCTGAGTTTCATTAAAATAGAGAGGGGTGCACCAGAGCGCAGGAGACTGCTCCTGTTCTCCGAGGATCGGATAGGAGAGGGAAGCCCTGCTTTGCCCAGGCTTGTGAGAGCTCAGCATGGAATGTCTCTACTGGGTCCTGGGATTTCTGCTGCTGGCTGCAAGACTGCCCCTGGATGCAGCCAGACGTGAGTATCTCGGCTTCTGTGTTTCACCCTTTCGCCAGCTCGTGGCCTGAGGGGATGGGTACTAATGTCCTCTGTGCCAAAGCAGACCGACGCTCCCCAGTGACCACACTGATTTCTTCCTCCGCAAACTGTCGGAAAGGCAACTATAGCAAAATGCCTCCCCCACATTCTTTGCTTTGGGCTCAGGGGAAGCAGAAACCACCCGGCCCCACGGTGCTGCCTTCCACTGCCGTGGCCACACTCTTGCGGAGCAGTGGTGGGAGCAAGGAGGACAGCCTCTACGCGGAGAACAACGCTGTTACGACAGTGTCTGTCTTCCATCCAACAGGGTGGAGAGCTCGGGTTAAATGGTGGGCGAGGTCCCAAATCTGCAGCAGGCCCTCTCCTGCTCCAGAAGCTCTTGCTAACCCTGCTGAATTTTCTCCAAAGACCCGCGCCAGGTTGCTGCTACTGCTGCTGCTGCTACTGCTGCTGCTCCTGCTCCTGCTGCTCCTGCTCCTGCTGCTGCTGCTGCTGCTGCTGCTGTTGCTGCAGTGAGGTTACTGAGAGAACAGTCCGTGCTCGCTTTTCTACCCTAGCAACGCTTTAGAGGATGAGGCATTTTTCACAACATTGATGCCCAATCAACGAAATCGGCAGCTTTGGGAGTGGGGTCAGGGCATCTCTGTTTAAAATTCCCTAATTCCCTTGCCCTTCTAGTGCGCAACAAGGGGGTGGGGGTAGGGGTCCAAACGGGACCGCCAGAACTGGCAACCCCGTGTCCGGGTCTGCGCCTTAGGAGAGCGGGGGAAGCCTGGCGCTGTGACTGTCGCGTTGGGCCGCGGAGGGCAGGAACTTGGCCCTGAGCGGTGCAGCTTGCCGGCGGGGCTGGGCCGCATTTCCTCATTTGCAAAGCGGAGCGAGAGTTCTCGTGAGATCAGCTAACCGAAGTGCTTGGCGGGGAGACGCGCGTGGTGGGATTGTTAGGAGACAGACTTCTCCCGGTCGTGTCCCTAGTGGAACGGTCTGCAGCCGAGAGACTGCGCCGGGACTGGGCCTCGGAGGCCGCCCCGCCCCAGCCTCGCACGCAGCCCTGTACCCGCCGCGGGAAGAAGGAGTGCACGCCTGCCCGGCGGTGCAATAAACCCAGACGTTCCTGGGTTCGTCTTGCCCTAAATATTCTGGCCCGAAGGGACAGGGACAAGCCAAGGGATTCCCAGGCACTCTGCAGTCAGTCCTGGTAAAATGCAGGCAGAAGGCACTGAGGAAGGGGTGTGCCAGCCCCGCCACCGCTCTCTGCTGTTGGGCAGAGCAGAGTCCTGGGTGCAGACCCCAGCCTCAGAGGGGCTGGGTGTGAGTCCACATTTACCCCCACATCTACCCCCTACACACACACACGTTTTTCTTTTAATGTCTACTTACTACTGGGTTTATTTTTATTTTTAAATTCAGATTTTACTTTGAGGGTAATCGCAGATTCACATGAAATTGTGACAAATAATACGGAAAGGTTCCCTTGATCCAGTTTTCCCGGTGGTAACGTAATGCAAAACTGATACACTACTGGCACTGAGCTGGTTAAAACTGAGACTAGTTCATCACCACAAGGATTCGTGGGTCCATTTATAGCCCAACCACCTCCCCCCGTAGTGCCTCCTAGGCCCTGGCAACCACAACTTCGCTGTCCATTTGTATAATGTTATTGTCTGGAGAATTCCACACAAAGGGAATTATATGGTATGTAACATTTGGGGACTGGCTTTTTTTTTAACTCAATTCCCTGGAGATTGATTGAAGTTGCTGCATCAATAATTGGTTTCGTTTTATTGCTGAGTACCGTGCCGTGGTGTGGAGGTGCCACAGTTTGTTTATCCATTCACCACTGAAGGACATCTGGGTTATTCCAATTTGGGTTAACAGGGTGAACCACTATAAATATTCACATACAGATTCTGTGAACATAAGATCTATTTCTCTGGGATGCATGCCAAAGAATACAATTATTTGGTCATATGGCAGTTGCGTGTTGAGTTTTACAAGACACTTCCAAAAGTAGCTGTACCAGTTTACGTTCCCACCAGCAACGTATGAGTGACCCAGTTTCTCTGCATCTTCAGCTGCATTGGGTACTGTCACTAGTTTTCACTGGGATCACACTGAGAGACATATAGGGAAATGTAATTGTGATTTTACTGTGCATTTCTCTACGGGCTAATGATGTTGACTATCCTCTCACCTGTAAATCCTCTTCGGTGAGATATATATCTCTTTTACCTATTTTCTCATTGGATGCTTTATTTTGTAGTGCTAAATTTTAGATACTAGTCCTCTGTTGGAAACGTGGTGTGCAAATGTCCTAGTCTGCAGTTCTCTTTTTCATCCTCTTTGCACACAGTTTCACAGAGCAAAGCATTCTTATTTTACTGAGGTCCAATATGTTGTATCAGTTTTTCCCTTTATGGATTATACCTTTGGTGTCAGGTCTAAAAAGAATTCTTATCTAGCTCTAAATCTTGAAGTTTGTTTTTGTTTGTGTTTTTTTTGAGGCAGGGTCTCACTATGTAGTTCAGGCTGACCTTGAACTGTCTATACAACCCAGGCTGACCTCGAGTCTCAGCCTCCCATGAGCTAGAAGCACAGGCATGTGCCACCATACCTGGCTAGATCCTGAAGATTTCACCTACGCTTATTACATTTTTACAGCACCATTTGTTAGACTCTACCTTTTGCCATTGGATTATTTCTGCCTCTTTGCCAAGAATCAGTAGGACATACCATCATGGGTCTATTTCTGGATTGTCTGTTCTATCCCATTGATCTGTGTCTATCCCATGTGATTCTTCTTTGAAATTTGTATTTTTCCTTGACTTCTGACAGTTAAAATTGGAGGAGAAATCTGTGTTTTGATTATATATCTGGAAACACCAGCTTTCTCTCAGGATGTAAGAAATATTCTCTGGAATAATGGAAAGAGCCAATCCTAGGAATGAAAAGATGTAAATCTTCATTTCCTTCAGGTTAAAGATGACCCTAGAGGTGACTCACACCACTCTCTTAGGCCTGGGTTGTTCATCTACAGAGTGAAGGGGTTTGAGCTAAATAATCTGAGTTCTTTCCACATGATTCAATTCAAAGTGAATTTCCAATTATAAACATTTATCAGTAAACATAAACTTCCTGTCCTTGCTTAGTATCTCTTTCCACGTAGAAACAGAATCATAGGACATTTGTGTTTTATCCCACTTGAAGGCCTAGAGAAAACACATGGCTTAAGGTCAGACACCCTGCTCAGCAGCAGGACTAAGCCAGAAACTAGGTCCCACGAGACCCAATTCATTGTTCTCCCCAATTCCATCTGCCACTCCCTGCCCCTACCTAAAAGAGGAACAGAAGAAAGAGATGAGTGTCAGGCACTCAGCTTGACTGTTCTGAGCACCCACTGCATGCCGCTCCTTGAGGGAGGCTTCTTCCTTAAAAAGAGGACAGATTTTCTGATCTCTAAGAGCTCATGGCCGTGCCAAGACATAGGAGCATATAAATCAGTAAGAGAGCAATGTAAGGCAGCATATGAATCGGAACTGACCGAGTGGTATAGATAATTACCTTTTGGCTGTAACAGAACAGGCTGAGTAAGACACTTATTATCTCAAGCAATCAGTCCAGAGGCAGGCAGAGCTGGAGTGATGGCTCAACGATGTCATCCAGGACTCTGTTTCTTTTACAGCTTTCTATTAATACCCTTGATGTGTTAGCTATTTCCGCAGATATGTGTCCTCACAGTGAATATGACTGTCACAGTCCAGATATCATGTCATTATACTGCCATCTCCCAAATCAATTCTGAAAAAGAAAAAACAGTAGAGTTAGTTCTTACCTGCTGCTTCTTAAAAAGGGGGAGAACTCTTCCCGGAGGCTCCCAGAAGTCTTCCTCTTAGCTCTCACTGGCCAAGATTTAATCATTTGCTCCTGCACAGGCTGTAAGGAAAGTTTGAGCTACATTAATGAGCCTCTGGAATTTTGATCTGTCATAAGGGAGGTTCTGCCAGCAAGGGAAAAGAAAGAAGTCAGGCTAGGTAGGCAGTGAACCAATCTGCTATGACGTGCAAAGAAAGGAGAGACCCCATGACCACCAGGATTGTCAGGCCAGGTGAAAAGACAGACAGTAATTCAGGATTAGAAATAAGTATAATATTATATACTCTTTTGAGAGCAAACCGTTCAAACCAAAACAAGATGAAGAAGGATAGCAATAAACCAGTAGTGGAAATAAAATGGAATCCAAATATAGTTCCAAAAAGCACAGGAAAAGAAGAAAGGAGGAAAAAAGAACAGATGGGATAGACTCATGCCGCAGCAGGCTGTTTGTTATCACTGAAAGCTCTAAAAGGCTCACAGCCACTGATATATCTCAGTACAAGAGCTAAAGTAATACTTAATGGGAGCTGGGTGTCATAATACCTGCCTGTAATGCCAGCACTCGGGAGGCTGAGGCAGGAGGATTGGTGCAAGTTCTAGGCCAGCTACAAAGTGAACTCAAGGGCAGCCTGAACTGCATAGTGAGACCTTGTCTCAAAAAGAAAAAGAAAAAGAAAAAAAAAAAAATATATATATATATATATATATAAAATTTAATGAGAAACATCAAACTGCTTGACATTAAAGTCAGGATAAAAGAAGGAGAGGGTAGAGCAGATGGGACAAAAAGAAAACAGATATACCATATGGTAAAAAGATATATCAGTTAAAGACTAATCAGTAATATCAAAATTTTCTTCAGAAGAAGGAATATTACCAGGGTTAAAGAATGTGAATTCCTAAAGAGAAAGAAATTGATTCATTAGGAAAACAATAACTCTAAATGTATATACACCTAACAACAGAACTTCAAAATACATAAAGCAGAAACTGACAGAATTGGAAGAAGAAATAAGCCAACTGGCAAATGCACAATTTTAGTTGAAGATTTCAAGATTCCTCTCTCAGCAACTGAAATAAATAATGAATAGACGGGAAATCTATAGGCATATAGAAAATTCACTGTCAACTAGACACAAATGTCTTTTTTTCTTCCTGTGCTAGAGATTGAATGCAGAGCCCTGCACATACTAAGTGAACACCCTACACCCCCCACCCAAACTCCACCCAAAAAATACGGACTACAAAAATGCATATGGAACATTCACCAAGACAGATTCTCTTTTGGGCTATAAAAACATTGTTTCAGAATGGGACCTCCAGTCCTGGTGTGTGTGTCTTAGTCTCCTAGGCCTGGCATTTCTTCAGCCAACAGTGTAGTTCAGACTGAAAAAAGATGCAAAAATTACTAGGAAGAATATTGGTATCAGAGTTTTTCTTAATGATATTGTAACAAATCCAAATGTTCAGAGGACAGGTACTGAGAAGCCAAGAGATAGCTAAAAAAATATGAGCTTTCAAAAAACGTTTTTGTATTATTTTAAAGTATATAAAGAGATAGGTTCCAAATGCTGCATTCAATGTATTTGCAGGAGATTTTTTTTTAAAGTACTGTCTATTAATTTGATGTATTGCATATATTACGTGTTGTTTTCCAACGGTAGAAAATGAAAAGCTTCTTTGACTGTTGTTGCCTAAGAACTAAACGAGAAACTGAATAGATAAAATAATTTGTCTTTCCGACACTGACGTAGGGTTTCGTGATGTGCTGGGCAGTGACAGACAACCTGGTTATACGCGGGAGCACAACCAGTTACGTGGCTGGTCTTCTGATGAAAACGACTGGGATGAAAAACTCTACCCAGTGTGGAAGAGGGGAGATGCAAGGTGGAAAAGCTCCTGGAAAGGTAAGTCAAAAGACTCCACCCAAACGACTGCGATTTCCTACTCCAGTAAGTCTCGTGGATTATGGAGCCTCTTAGGTCTCATGGTTCACGTGGTTTTCATGAACGATAGCACTGGAGTTGCCATGTGAGTGATAGCAAAGTTTGGCAATCTGGCCTCACCCCGATATTATCACTCTAAGTCACAGAATGATGTTTAGTCTTCTTAGAAAATTCTAAATTCTTAGCCTTTGGAATATTTTGGAAAGCAAGAAGTTTAGCCTCAATCCTATTTAACGAACACAAGGATGGTAAGCTGTAGAAGACCTGTGACACTGAAGTGTTTTTTGATTATTTCAAAAGCGTGGCCTTCAGCCACTTTCAAGTGTGCCTTGCTTCACAAGGCAGGGAGGCATGGGCACATGCCTGTAATCCCACTACTGAGAAGGCTGAGGCAGGAGGCTTGCAAGTTCAAGGCAAACTTAGGCAACTTAGTAAAACCCTGTCTCAAAATAAAATTTTTAAAAAGCTGGGGCTGTGGCTCAGTGACAGAGCATTTTCCCAGCATACACAAGGTCCTGGGTTCGATCCTCAGCACTGAAAAAAAAGTGTGCTTTATCAGAAAGTATCTTAGATAGCTTTCCATTAAAATAAAAAAACGAATCCTTTAGCCATTGTGTTTTAAGATTTAAAAATGCAAATGTTTAACATTCATCTCTCAAACCCAGTTGAGCAGAATTTTTAAAATTATTTTAAGTAAAATGTTCTTTTTGTGGTTAGAGAATTCTTTAGTCTTTTTTGTTGTTATTCATCCTCTAGAATGTTGTACTCTGAAAGCTAAAGTTAGGCATCCAGAAAATAAACCTAGTGTATCACAAAGAGGCATTTTAATAGGTTCAACTTGACTTTAAATGTGTAATAGTGTGGGAAAGGAAAGAGATAGCGGATCAGTGAGCTCCACGTTTTGCTGCCCTAGGAGGCCGCGTGCAAGCGGTCCTGACCAGCGACTCCCCGGCGCTGGTGGGTTCAAACATCACATTCGCGGTGAACCTCGTGTTCCCCAGATGCCAAAAGGAAGATGCCAATGGCAACATAGTCTATGAGAAGAACTGCAGAAACGGTAAGGACTTGGTGGTTCTCCTCATCTCCTGGAGAGCTGTCTCCTGGCCTCCCTGTTACAGGTTTCTGTAAGTGCAAAATGCTGCGATGCTCCCTCCGCCCTCCTCCTCAAGACGGGTGACAGGGACCGGGAGTGTGTGGTCCGGCGCAGCCCCCTCACGAACATCAGCGTCAGGCAGACCTGCTTCCCTGTCTGCAGCCTTTTATTTATTTATTTTTTGTTTGTTTGTTTGTTTGTGCAACCTTTTAGATGCAACACTGTCACACACAGCTTTTCCTTAGTACCCAGTTCATTGGATGGAGAATACCTTGTTGATTCTCTGATTTAGATTTTATTAAAATGAGAAGTTTTTTGGCTATTCAGAGAATAGCCAACTTAAACTGAGTGTGGGGGCACACATACGTAGTTTTTCATTCACAGTACTACTTTAACAAAAAGAAAACTAAGTTTTTACCGTGCAGTCTATTTAATCCAGTATATCTAAAACATTATGTTTAAGAATTGAGATTCTTTATTATTCCTTTTCTCATACTAGTCTTCGAAATGCAGAGTATGTTACACTCACATCTTAATTCCGATTAGTCACACTTCAAGTGTTCAATAGCTACCTCTGGCTAGGAGACAATATAGTTATTGAAAAATTCCTACTCTCTGCAATATCTGCTGGAAAAGACAGAACTTTACCATCAATTTATCTCTCCTTGCTATCTATCCAATAAATGTATATAAGAAAAGCATAGCTCCCTCTTTAGAAGTTTTCCAATCAAAAATTTTTTTTTTTTTTTTGGTACCAGGAAACAATCCTAGCTGTTCAGGAGACTGAGGCAGGAGAATCTCAAACTGTAGCCCACCCTGGGCAACTTATTGAGAACTTGTCTCAGAATTTATAAAGGGAGGCAGGGATGGGCCTGTAGCTTAATGGTAGAGCATTCCTTAGTTTAATCCCCAATATTACAAAAAAAAAAAAAAAGAATAACCCATTTGACAAATGTTTGCTGATCAATTTAATTTCTGCTGGCCAACATTAAGCAAATGCTGTGTGGTTGGCAAAATGCTAAATGGTATACATTTTGGTTTTGCTTTGCTCTTGAAGAGATAAGCTCTTCATGTACGTTAATCTAAAATGCACAGATACATCGAAGAAATTATTGTCAGAGTTGTACACATCATAAAACAGCTACTTACTGAGCTTCAGGGACAAAGATATTCAATCCAATTATGGTCTGATTATTTAGAACTCTTATTAAATTGGCGTGCTTGTTCCTTACTCATTTTTTGTCCCCCTCAGAGGAAAACATTAAATTCTGTTTAGAAAACATGTTTAATATTTTAAAGGTGTTAATTATTTAATATTTTGTAGTATTTCCCATTCTTTTTTTAATTTCCCCTTTTTAACAAAGCTGATTCTTACAAAGTTCTGAAATGATGATCTAACCCTCTGAGCACTTGAGTATGAAATAATCCATCTTATGAAAAATTTTCATAGAGTATCTATATCACTAGGGAAGGAGGTGAGGGAAGGGGATGAAAAAAGATGTGATACATACATGAAGTAATTCCGCACAAGGAACATAATTGGTACACACTGCAAATGTGTACTAATAAGAACAAAACAAATTTTTAAAAATCTGTCATCACTAAAGAAAAAACACTAGAAGCTAGTTTTGTTGGTGCACACTTGTAATCCCAGCACTCAGGAAGCTGAGGCAGGAGGATCACTGTGAGCTCAAAGCCAGCCGGGGCTACAAAGTGAGTTGAAGCCCAGCCTGAACTGCACAGTGAGACCCTGCCTCAAAAAGAAAAAAACGAAAACACCAAAACTTGAGATCTTTGAAGAAATGACTGATTCTATGTCTAGGATAAGAAAGTACCAGGTAGACCTGATACTTCTTACTATGTCAGAAAACAAGAAAAAGTTCAAAGGCTAATAGGGTTGTGTCAGAAGAATACTGGGGCCAGCTTGAAGGGGCTTCTATCGACCATACTTGGGACAATTTGAGTATAAAAAAGAGTAACAACTAATAGGTTGATAAATAGAAAGGCTCTTCAAAGGCTGGGGATATAGCTCAGTGTCAGAGTGCCTGCCTGGCAAGCCCAAGGTCCTGAGTTCAATTTCTGGTACCAAAAAAAAAAAAAAAAACAAGGCTCTTCAAAAATATTAGTGATATGCCAGTACTAAGGGAAGCTGAGGCAGGAGGATCACGTGGAAGTCCCACCTGGGCAACTTAGTGAGACCCTGTCACAAAAATTTTTTAAAGAAAATAAAATTTAAAAAAATAAAATGTTAAAAAGAAGAGAGGGGATGAGGATGCAGCTTAGTGCATCCTCAATTCCTAACACCAAAGGAAAAAATTCAGTGACATAAAAAAATAAAAGGGTAAAGGGACTTCTAGATGACATTATCTTGATCATGGCTTGTTTAAAGTGAGAAATACCGTACATGTGAAAACTTGAAAGCAGAGTGAGCTGCACACACAAATATTCTCCATCTAGATTCAACAATTTTAACACTTCACTGTATTTGTTTGTGTCTCTAGCCTTATGTTTCTCTATTATATAAACCTATATCTACATTGATCTATCTATGGAAGGACGGAGGGCGGGAGAGAGTGATTTTCTCTGATTAACTTGAAGAGAGAAACAGCACGTATAGTGGGAACAAACGTCCGTACAGACCCGGACAGGCGTGCATGGATGCAGCGCTGCTGTGTGGTTCCCTGGGGTGCCCTGTATCCTTGGGGCTTTCTTGTGCTGAAGTCTTTGGGAATGGAGCCATGGTGTCAAACGAGACAGGAAAAAAACCCTACCCCTGAGTGTGATCGAGCACCCTGCAGTTTGGTTTAAAAGGGGCTGGGGCTGGGGCTGGGAGACCCAATCTGAAGACAAATGTATAAAGTGAAAGGTGCAGATGAAACATCCCTGAAAATCTCTTGCTATAATGCTCTCGTTGAAACACAGCATAATATGCCAAAAAGTGTACAAGTCCTAAGCGCACCACTGGGTGAATTGTGAACGTGAGATTTTTCGTCCTGTAACAGCTTTTACACTAGTTATGAGAAGATGTATGACATGTTTCATTCAGCGATGGGCGCCGGGCATTGGAAGCAGTCCAGATGACGATGGTACCTTGTTTCTTCCTCTGTTTAGACTCTACTTTGTCTCCTGATCTGTACGTTTACAACTGGACCGCAGCCTGGTCGGAGGACAGTGACCCGGGCACGGGCCCGGCTGGGCACCACGTGTTCCCCGACGGCAAGCCGTTCCCCCGCCCCCACGGGTGGAGAAAGTGGAATTTCGTCTACGTCTTTCACACGCTTGGTTCGAATTTTAAAACCTCTCTTGGTCTCTTTTCACTTTTCTTTGTACTTTTAACTCCCTATTTTCTTACCCTATAATTGGAATTTAAACACCCAGAGTTTAGTTTAGTGGACATTGAAAAAGAAAATGAAATCCTACTTAACTGTTAAATCTCCAGGACACCCAAAGAATTGAAATCAGAAAGAAAGGAAAAAGAAAAAGAAGAAATAGTTTCAGCTCTTAAAAAAAAAAAAAAAAAACTACTCAATTTTGTATATAAAGCAGCAATATGAAAAAATAATGTTTCTTTGGATGGCCCATGGAGAGACATTTAGTCTTTATTTTTTAATATTCTGAAAGGAATGTTTAAGAAATAAAGAAATGTATGCTCTTTGTAGGAAATTTGGAAAATGCAGAAAAGCACAAATAAAAAAGCATCCAAACTTAATAGCAGAGACGAACACCATTAACCTTAGTGTTCAATACGAATGTTTCTTGATAACAATCCTAATATATTATACTTTTGGGATACTATCATGAGCACTAGACTATGTCACAAATTATTTATTTATGTTAGCTTAATGATTGCATAATACAGTATTCCATTGTCTAGAAATAAAATAATCTAACTACTCTTCGTTGACATAGCCTACCCTTTTAAACTATAAATGGTATTTACTTTCCTTTATTTTGATGAAGTGATTATTTTAGGAGAAGCAAATTTGGGTTATTATCAGCAAAGCTGCTAAATTCTTAGTTTAAAATATCAGCAGGGCCACCTGGTGCTGAGTATTTGAAAACTACCATCTGATCAGTCTCCAGACTTCTAAATCATAAATTAGAGTGAGTTCCTTTTTCTTCATTGAGCTTACTTACACATTAATACAAGACATTAATAATACATACCCATTAAACAAAGTACAACATATGTCAGATGTTATGCCCACCTATTTAAAGCAATTTCTAAAAGGCTGACTTTTGTTCTGTGCCGTCCTGGCCCTGTCAGTCGCTTCACCAATCATGATTTCCTTGGCTTGCCCGTCCCACGACAGCCCTGACAGTTTCCAGGGACTCACTCACACGCAATGCTGCTCCTGAGGCTTTTGAGCTTAGTTAACATTCCATTAACCTAACCAGATCACACGTCTTTATTTAAAATCAGTCTTCAGCCTAGAAATTGCCCTGCTTTTCTAATGAGGCTGCCCTGGGTTTCCTCTGCTCTGATCTCAGAGCTAAGCGATGCTCTCCCTCCACTGAGTGTGGCCTCATCTCTCAGCACTGGGACTAAGGTGCCCTCGTGTATCACTGCCCAGAGAGACCCCACCTCCTCAGCCTCCGCAGAACTGTGCTTGCATCTCAAGGTGAAGGGCCCATCCAGGTATCACCCCTGCCCCGAGACCAGGGTGTTTTTCTCACCTGTTCAGCTGTGCAGTAAACATTTAAACGTCCTGGTCTCAAGCATACATCTCACAAAACCCGAACAGTCAGTGGCAGGCCGTCGGGCACCATAATCGGATCAGAAGAGTCCTAGAGCCCTGGAGGAGAAGAATTGCTTTCACCTGCCAGCCAGGGGCGGTTTGTGAGAGGACTGGAGAATGAAAGGGAGGGGACAACTCAAAGTCACCCTAGAAATGTGTTTGTGGGGGGCTGGGGATTTAGCTCAGCAGCACAGCGCTGGCCTGGCAAGCATGAGGTCATGAGTTCGATTCCTAGTACTGGAAAAAAAAAAAATGTGTTTGTGGAACCACGCCGCCCCCTTTTATATCTATCATACTCTTGCTTCTCTTTCATTGCTTTCTGTATTTTTATACACAAATAGTATTAGAAGGTGGAGAGTTCCAATCTTTTCAAAGAAATCTGCTTAATGATAAAGTTGCAGTCATAGTGTTACAAAAAGAAGGTAAATTTTGGGGGTAATTTTTTAATTCTCTTGAACATTGTTACATTAAATTTATTTTTTATAGGAAAATCTGTGCTTCAAGTGCCAAACCACTTAATTTATATGAAATATTTATTTGTAGGGGCTGGGGATTTAGCTCAGCGGCAAAAGCGCCTGTGTGGCAAGCGCAAGGTCGTGAGTTCGGTTCCCGGTACCGGAGAAAAACCAAAAAAA